TCGGACATTCTGATAACACATGTACTTGTCACATACACACAGTTTTAGAGACGGCAACAAAGCATGAATCATTAGAATACAGGGCAGATTGTGTAAAGGTCAAATTCACAAATAACACAAAGATGTGAGTAAGAAAGAAAAAAAAGCAAAGAAGGGTTGAAAATACTTATGAAGTAAATTGATCCTTGGTTCTAAATTGTATTACCAAGGCAGGTTTAAAGTAATAACAAATAACTTTTTTACACATAAGACAGGTTTAAGCCTTTTTATGACCAAGGCTTCAACGAATTTAAGTACGTGACCCAAAATTGTTTTATATATGGGTTTGAAGTATTTATGGAAATCAACCTTATGACCCATCTCCACAATTTGCTTTATTATGGATGTCCAACATCATCGTATATTGGCCACTACTGGAAACATTTATGCCGGCTGAGTTGATTCTAAAGTTACTAACCAAATAAAAATTTATGAAAATGTCAGTTTTTTTTTCTTTAAGAGGAATATTTTGTATCTTTGTAAATGAACACATCATGATGAAAACAGAAACAAACTTATTGAAAAAAGAAGGTTTTTTTTCATTCAACCTGCAAAGCATTCTTAATTTTATATTCGTCAATTGTAAACAATCAACGTCATAATGTGTTTACACTAAAGTATGATAATAAAAAAATTTCTAGCTGAACTAGCATGAGTAAAACAGCTGTCAGTGTTGAAGAGCCATAGAAATTTGATAAAGTTTTCATCTTTTTTCTTATTCATTTGGCAACTTAAATAAGAATTCCTGGAGAGAAATAGTATTTCTCTCATTGTAAGTGATGTTCATTATTACAGATGACTGCTATGAGGTATGAAACACACAAGTTAACTGATCTATGTAGATATGTACATATATATATATATATTCACAACTTTTTCCTTTGTTTAACCAACGTTGTTTTAGCCCACTACATTTTAGGATTAGGAATGAAAATTAGTTTCAAGTGTTATCAGAAGTTTTGTATTGGAAAATGTAGAAATATTCGCCTGACTTACCTTAATTACCGTAGGTTAGCTGACTGTTTCCATGCAAACATGAAATTCTTTAAAATTACCTTTGTGGTGACATAACTGTGTATACAAGAGAACATAGACAGTAAGGCATATACATACAAATAACATTATTATTAGGCTTTAGAGGGTTTGATCACCTTTCACAAGCAGCAGATCAAGTTATAAATAATTATCAAAGAAACCAGAGACATGAAAATAAAGTTAACAGATATAGCATTGACTAAAAGTGATTGAGCACTACCAAAATTTTTAAAAAGAAATAGAATCTGACTGCAGCACTGGGTGATGCGGGTTTAAATCTCAGAAGGTACATGAGTTTCTTCTAGGTTGCAGATACGCCTTGCTGATGAGTGCCAGCTAGCACGAAACCTAGGTTCAAGGCTTCCTGCCGATTGCCTCCAACCATCTAATACCAACATTTCACAATGCACCGTAATGGCAAACCACCTAGCATGGTGGCCATATTGCAAGCTTGACTGATAGAATTTAGTCTGCACCGAAGACAGGACTTGACACATTACACTAGTCACTGACTAGTGTGCAATCAAAATAATCTTATACTGTCAGAAAGTTTCCTTCTCATACATAAAAAGATTGTATATAAATGCGGTGTAAAGATGAAATTACAGTTTCTGAATCCATATTAATTTGTTTATTAGATATATCACACAGTGAAACAGTATTATTTACTGGACGACAAGGTTTCGAACATAATTTATTGCTGTTCATTATCATATCAAGTATAACTGTGTGTCGGTGGCACAATGGTTAGGACTCTCGCCGACCATGCACATGGTCCGGGGTTCGAGCCCACGCCGACGCACACCTGATATCTATGGTCGGCCTGCGAATTATAGGCTACCGATATCCACGCTGAAAATTCCACACTCGTCCCAAAAATACAGTGTGGAATCAAGCTGTAATCAAAAGTAAAAAATAAAAACCACACAACTTCGAAACTCTCATTTTATAGTTTTCTTTATTCTTTCCTATTCATCGTGGGGATAGCAGAATTTTACAGATGTCTGGGACAGATACTGAATCATTTCTGTTATACGCATTTTCATTTGATCAGATGAATAAAGCTTCCGTTATTCATCTTGCCGTTATTCACCCTGATGTACTAGATTTCAGAACCATCATCTTATTCAATCGTATTTTATGGTAGTGCTATAACTGAACTATTCTCCGGATTTTTTTATCTGACCAAGGTCAACTAAGCTAGATTCTGTTTGGTTTTTGTCCTTCGCTAGTCTGACTGACCTCGTTCTACTGCTTTGCCTGAAAATCATTGATGGGTATTAGATAAACTAAATTGTTTTGTTTAACTGGCTATACAGGATCCTTTAACCGATAAATGGGAAAGAATAAAGGAAACTACAAAACGAAAGTTTCAAAGTTGTATGGTTATAATTGATATGAATGTGAACACCAATAAATCATGTTTGAAACCTTGTCATCCAGTAAATAATACTGTTTCACTGTGTGATATATCTCATAAACGAATTAATACGGAATTACATACTACCACAGTGTTCAAGTTATATACAAATATGCAGTTGCTGATGATTGCTTTACAGGAATGAATACACCTGAGACGCATGAAAATTTAAACGCCGTATAGCAAAATTTGAAATATCACATGTTTTTATAAAGCATTTATTTTTACTCAACTTTGAATGGCCGGCCACCTGAAAAAAGTAGTCGGTTATACTTTCTTCAAAAAGACGCAAAACACGTGTCAAAGATAAGAAATATTGTGTGAAAGTAATCTTACTTCCGTTTCTTGACTCTTTCTACAGACAAAATAAAAACTACATTGTGAAGAAATAAATCGAATACATTAGCTTTGCAGACACAATGAAATACCCACACTCAAAAATTCTATATAAAAAAAACAAAAACAAAAGTGGAACTGTTAATTTTTGAAAAATAAAAACAAAAGCATATAGGTTCAACTTTCCTAAAAAGAAAGTAAGCTTTTGGAACACTTAACATGGTTCCTGCTTACCGTAGTGGAAGCACATGAAGGTGTGAATTTTTGATCAGAAGATTATTTGCAACCAAATCACTCAGTTAGTATTGTGTGGGATATGGTATTCAAAGCAAACTCAAGTGACTGCCCCTAGTTGGTCGATCTACATTAGAGCAAGTAGCTTTGTTAACTCGATCCTGAAATATCGGATAGACAGTCAAGTGTGTACACTATTGTAATATTCCAAGTTAAGACAGCTACTAAAAAGAAGTATTCGATAACCTGTTTTTCTGGAAAATCGGCCTTCCCGCTAACTCCATTTGCACAGATGCTGGTGGTAAATTATTTTCGCTAGTTTAATTAGGTATATAAGAGAAGCAGTATAACTGGGGCTCTGAATTGTTACCCGTCAATAGATAAATTTAATGCCATAAGTTGATGAACATTTATGCATAAAATGAATTTATCTTTGACTCAAAATTAACAGTCCCGCTTACTTAATCAAAGAAAATGTGTATTGATGTCTACAATACTATAAATGCAAATGGGACAGCAGTGAAATTTCAATACATAACACCACAAGACAATTATAGATCGAGAATATAATCAGATATACATACTTGTCATTCAATATACCGGTCTTTCGATATAGTCAGTTTAAATTAACCTTAAATATACACAGATGTACTGAAGTCTATGCTGAAAATGTTACCCAGAAAGACAATGAAAGCTTCACAGTTGAATCATCCAGCTCAGGTAGTATTTTCCACCAGCCTGGCATTAGTAATGAACTTTTTATTGAAATATAGTATGAGGAATAACGCAGAAACTTTAGTGCTTTTCTTAGTCATCTATCACAAATTGATTACATTCAAGAAGGACGTTGAAATTTGATTTTTGTTTATAGATCTGAAAGCTGTCAGCATGGTGCATGTAGGAAATAGTGTCTAAATATTAAGTGCATGCATATTTATAACACTGATTCCGTTTAGATAAGTTTAGCTATGGAACAGTATCAAGTGATCATCATTCTATGTAAAGTTTATAGAAAGGAGGCACGCTAATATGAGTGACTTATATCTCCTATATTTTCAGATATAATCACACTTTTATAACTCTGATTTTGTCTCACATTAAATTTACATGAATTCTGTAAGTCTCTCAGATTACATAACATCTTATATCTTACCCAGCATTTAATACAGCTCTGTAAAATTGTGACAAAAATACGTAGTTAAGTGGTTTTATAGGGATGATAATGATAGTCTTAACTATCTCAATGCATAGATATTTGATGAGAATCTTTCAGTAGCACAGTTCACGAAAATGCAACTTAGTTTCGAAACAGTTTTTAGTTTTAAAAAGTCTTACAAACGACTTAAGTTTCAATCACACTACTTTAGCTTACCATGACTAAGAACATTCTAGAAGTTTTCAAGTATTAAGAAGCTTATGTTACTCACACTGAATGAAATATGGTGAGCTAACAAATAGTTTATATTATAAAAGCACATAGATTTTCATATTTGGTCATAGGGCTTCAAGCTAGACCTCCGACCTTTTAGTAGCTAGCCTCATCCCCAACCTTCCCTCTTTATCAGTCTTAACACTGGCTTAGCAAAAGAAAGGAGTGCGTCAACCGGGGGTCAAACACCAGACCACAAGCTTGGTCGGTGGGCGTTCTACCTTTGTGCCACCGACGCACATGTGATCACATGATTTGCATGTTGATAAACTCCCTGTATTAATTTGCGACTATGTAATTTGAAGCTTTAGGACGAAAATCTTGTATTTTTTAAGCATGATTTTTGTTATATACCATTCACACTTGTATTTTCTTATACAATACTGAAATAGATTGTATTAATCTTATAACTACTTTTCTTCTTTCAGAACACATTATATTCTAAAAAACATTCACAAAGAGATGTTGGGAAATTCAAAAGTCATACTCTTCACATTGTCTGTAATCATGCTGTATTTCAGCCAAACAGGTAATTTTGAATAAATGTTTTATTAGCTGAACATTACTTCCTCTTCCCGCATTTACAACAAGTTTCAACTGATAACTTAGGGTGCTTCTTACTTTGCTGCTTCTACTAATGATGACCATCAAACGATATTTCGAATACAAAATGACTTAATGTGACGAAAAATCGATATATACTATAGAGCGACAGGTTCTTCAACATTGTAAACGAAACCAAGTTAAATAAGGTCATTTCCTAAGGCTAACTGGAATGGAGATGTATATGTTAAACATTTATGATTAGAGCTTTTATAAATACTCTTGGACAATAGTTCACCACACACACTGTGACATAACAACATTTCAAAGTCACGGAAGTAATAGACGATTTTTTAACTTGTTATTCCTCAAATATTTTGTAGCACTAATCTGGATAACTGTTAGACTCTTTTTCACAGTATATATATATATATATATATATATATATATATATATATATATATATATATATATATATATATATATATTAACAAATTACTGACACTATGATTCATTTCACTTAATTATTTTACGGATAACATCTCAAAATATTTTTGTAATTTTTAATATATTTGTGCGTTGAAGTTTCTGTAGCGATTTGGTTAATTTTTAGGGGTGGACCTGCCAACACCACCCCCAACCCTCCCTCTCTTACCGGGCTTGGGATCGGCTAGAAAACTAGCGAGCTAGTAATCGAGGGAGCATTGTCTCAACTACGGGAGGAACAGACGAGGATGTCAAATCGAGCCAGAAGCGGGAAGGCGAGAAACACATTCCGTCATCAACCTGAAACCAATCTGGAAATCTTCGTCACTCAGCCAGCATCAACAACAAAACTCGGTCGGATTTACAATACAAACGTCAACTCAGTCAGCTCTTCTATACGGAACGGATCAGAAACTTGGCGTGCAGTTCACAAAGAATATTTCCAACAGGTTGCGATGCAGAGCTTTATCAACCAACAACTGCTTTTCCTGGCTCTGTACTGAAGATCAGATATCCGGGCCGGAAACAATCACCAACAAGAAACTATGGCTGGAAACAAACAAAGCAAGAACCAATCGCCAACCAACAAATATGCAGGAGATGGAGTGGGGATGGATTGAACACTCGCTCGCTGAGGAGGCCGCTGGGTGACATCGCGCGTGCGTCAGGCCATTGCTCGAGTGGAACCAGGCGGAAAGGGAAGCGGCGAGTGGGACGTCAGTGCAAGGGTGACATGGAGGAGATCGTGTGAAGAAGAGTTGAAACAGTATGGACTAACATGGATATAGGTGGAAAGCACAGCAGAAGCAAGACAGAAGCAAGTGGAGACGTGCAGTTGGAGCCCTATGTTCCACTAGGAACCCAAGGGAACAATTATAGTAATAATATCGAATGAATTCATCTGTGTAAGAATGTTTCCGACAGTTTTTTCAAAAGATGTTTGCAGTGAAGAAAATTTTTCCTTTCGACGAAGTCATCAACTAGGCTGTACATTCTTGTATCTATGGTAAATGTTTGAGAAAGTTCCAGAACTATTCCCGGCCATGGGTTAGTTTAATGAATTTACTAAGTACAATAAACAGGAGATAAGTGAAAGTACTATTCTAAAAATATTTCGGGTCAAAGGTGAGACTGATAAAATTACAATTTTTAATAATCACGAAGATCGGGTAGAAAAGATATAATTAGATCATAATTACTGAAAAAACTGTCAGTTTGTATAGTTATGGATTAAGGACGCAGTACTAAAAAATAGTTAGGAAGTTCGGATATATAAGAAAAATTTTAAAAAACGGCAACCGAACCTAGTAATGCAGATAGGAATTAAAAAAGTAAAAATAACAGAAATAAACAGGAAGGCTGGAGAACAAAGTTAACAGGATAAACATTATTGGTGGGACTGACTCTTCAAGATGTCCACAGTAGGGACAACAGTTGAACGTATTTCTTTTGAACACATTCAATGGGCTTAAGTTTTTGGATCACCGGCTTTATTCTTAGAAGCTACCTAATCAGATTTCAATATAATTCGGATCGTTGTCTGTTGACAGTGAAGGTCAAAATTAGTCACATAATTTTACTTTCCCCTTGGAGGAAATATACGGTTAAGAGCCAAAAATATAACTGTAAATTAGTAGGAGAGGTCAATCATAATTGTCTTTTAACACTTTTTACTTCAACATTAATTTTTTGAATAATTAAATGATTTAGGAGTTCAGTAACATCAAGACAGTTTCATAGGTAGCACTGGAAATTTATCACCGTGTTATAATGACAATCTTCTGTTGGTTAGGCTGCTTTATGTTATATATATATATATATACTATTCCCTTAGATTCCGAGTAAAACATAGTTCTTTAACAGCAAATCTCCATTCCATCCTATTCTATGAAGTCCTATTTAGCTGGCTTTAAGATTATATGTAAGCTCTCATCTTCTGCATGTACAGTTTCCTGCATGTCAATCTTGGACGCCCAACCTGTCCTTTTCCAGTCTAGTCCCAGTCGAGGACCAGGGATGCGATGTCACTCAAAGGTCTGCAGTGTGTGCATCCAATCCATCTCCATCTTTTTCGACATACATTAAAAGAAACATGTTCTTGGTTGGTTTGTTACTAGAGTAACTGTTTGCCATTGCTTTCTGGCTGGTAATCTGATCTTCAGTATAAAGAGAGGGTAGCTATTGATAAAATGCTCAAGTCTGTTGGAAATGGTGTTTAGGACGGAAGCGCCATATCTGTGAACCCTATAAAAGAACAGACGTGACTAGCATTAATGTTGAAAATCCAGTTCTTGCCCTTCATGCTGAGTAGACCAGTTTTCCTCACTGATTTCAGTTTAGGGAATGTCTTTCCTAACTTTCCGATCCTAGCTTCCACATCTTTATCAGCGCCTCCTGTAGTCGCCGCTTAAATAGGTGAAATAAGTAACTTCCTTCAATTTTCTGCTACTTTGTTATTTAACGATCTCTAACAAATACCAATGAAATTCTTTATAGAGTTCGGGTAAATACTATCTAAGCTTATTTTAGACATAGAAATCATCCAAGTTACCTTGTATTATGGTTTCAGCTAGCTGCGAACCATATCATATCTACATTAACACTGATGTTTCGATATTCTTTTGACATAAACTATGCATCAGTTTAAAGACAGCTGAATAGGACGCGAGACTTGAAGTTCCATGGCAAAATTACTTAACTTAGTGATATTTATCGGATAATCCAGAGAAATCGAGTTTCCACCAACCAAGTTTTTCAAATTTTGATGACGGAATGATATCAATTAAAGAACCACTGAAAACCAGGGAGTGCTAGATATCCACTTCGTTCTATTTTTGAACTCTTCCGGAGTACACAATCATGTTTCTATAGGGAATCGAACCCAGAGTCTTTAGATTAACGACGGGGCGACATGGTTGACTATTCAGCCACTCAGACGGGATACGATGGCCCATGAACTATGACTTCTTTAAGTGATATCAATCCTTGATAAAACCGTGCAATCAATATTTCATCATTTTCACTACTGAGACAGTAACACTCCGAAACTCTTTTGTCATCAAATTTTGAGATCTGAACTAAACAAACAAGAAGTCTAGGTAACAAATTAATTTAGAATTTCAGCCTGTGTTAATCTGAGTAACTTTCAAATAGATTGTTACAGGTACACTAAGTTTTCGTTATCTGCATCATATAACATCTATCGGATATTTTATACATACATCCATACACGCATACTAAATGAAGGCTGTTTTCCTCTCCACAACATTTGAAATACACCAGCTACTTGCAAAGAAGTATGGAATTCAACTTTCCACAATGGAGAGATCATTAGTTTGTTAAGGTAATTAGTTTTCTTTCCTCAAATAATTAAAGCAATATTGATTAGTGAATGGAAAAAGACATCACGATATACTTTTAACAAAAGAATTTTTCCGCGGGAATTATAAAGCATTAAATTTCTACTTAAATTTTCAACAAATTATCTGTTATCTGTAGTCGGCACAAGTTTCAGAATGACAACATCTTGTATCTTTTCGTTTAGCATCTCCATACATTTTACGCGTGTGTGTATGTGTGTTTCACCTGTTTTATGCTCATACTCTGAAATTATGACACATTTTAATTAATATGGTACCTATGACGGTTTTATAGCTTTTATAAAAACGAAGTAAAGGGAAGTATTAGTGCTCGTATATATAAATTATGTTTACAAAATGAACATATTGTATGAAATATACATGCGCTTGTAACATAATATAATGGTTTTTACATTTTAAATTTAGCCTTAAAGGTTGATGCAGAGTCGCTTCGTAATTGGTATCCAGAGTATGGACGATATAAAAGAAGTGTATACACCCGAGGTGATAATACAGAAGAAGATATGAATTCTTATGACAATGGAATGGTTGATTCAAGAGCTGTTAAACGAGCTGTACGACTAATGAGACTGGGATAATTAGTTGGCTCGTATGAAATATATTCATAAAGTACATCTGTTCATTAAAAACCAACCTTTAAATTCCCCTTTTATTCTAAATTCTAAATGGAGCATATGGTTTAATTAATAAATTGTATACAAAGCTACAAGACTTCTTTGCAAATTTTAAACAATTCTTTTGGTTTACTTTTAATATACTTTTAATATACAACAGAATGTTTAAAATGTAGTGAAAAAATTCGTAACATTAAGGTAAGTACAAGAACACCTCCTGTACCTACCGAGTAATATCAAGCTAAAATCAAATTCCGTATCAGAGCATCCGTTAAACCAGCAAGATCTCACCATTTCCGCCTAGTAATAACAAGCAACAGGCAATTTGAAAGTTTCAAAAGTTAAAAATGATTTAATTTATTGAGTTAGGAAAGTGTATTGTTACATCTTAGCTATGCTTAACTGACCAAGCATTACAAATACAAACGTTAGAAATTATTCATCATCTACACGGCTGTTTCTAATGAATAGTGAATACGTTTGATACAACAAATTACTTAATCATTTTTCCACAGTCAAAGTCCCAACTTGAGAATTGCTTTAGTGTATCACTAGTTCTTCTAAATAAATAATCGAAATTCGGGAGCTTGATCCCAAAGAAGAGAAAACAGCCATCCAATGTTTAGATCACTTCGATCTGGTTGTCAAGCACTACTAGTTGTTCAGGGTAGTATACAGCTACTTATATAAATCAGCCAATAGTATGTAGTATTTTTCTTAATATCATTGAACAAATGTCTGGGATGCTTAAAGCTAGTTTGTATGCTTATCATTTTCACTAGCGCTTATCTCAAACTCTCAGTAAACTTTCTCTACATCATAAGTCTACGTATCCGTCTGTCATCTCCATCCCCTTCGACAATAATCATTACATCACTCTGATTATTATTATTATTATTTGTTCCTTATGTTCCCAGTAGAACAAAGAGCCTCAGCAGCACATCTCAATTACACGCCATTCGCTGACACCATTTTCAGCTGGCTCCACAACTGCTCACAGGCTTTGACTACTACTGCAAATAATCTCTTCCTCATTATCCCTTAGCACCCAAATTATCACTTCGCATTCGGGTTCCACTCGTTAGCTTTACGTGTGATGTAGGAAATGCTAAGTATTTAATTCCTCATGTCTTGTGTTGTAGTATATTTAACATTACGAATTCTTTTCCCACTGATATCAATGCATTTACTACTGCATAAGGCTGCTCAATGTGTGTTTCACGATAAATATATACCGAGGACAGAATTACCAATCTATGAAATATATAATGTTATGCTAGAAACACAAACAATCGAAGTTATTATTGCTTGAAATTGCTTCATTTTCATACTGATTCTAATCTAAATTCCTTAACATCTTTCGTTTGTCACAATATCAAGCTTTATTTCTGCATAATTTATTATATCATCTTCTTTACTACCAATAAATTTGCTCAATAAGGGCATAAAGATTCCCAAAACGATTCCATTTGGAAGATTTTATCTTTAATTTTCAATCTTGAAATTAAAGTTATTACAGGAAAAACAATAAATTATACCGATGAATAAAAATGTTGAACCTTGATTATTGTTACTAAGTAATGAATACTAACAAGGACTATGGGACACTTTGGCAATAATGTCTCATACTGTAGTATGAAGGGATGAAGGTTTGAATTTCTGTGTGCAAATCCCCTTACTATGGAACAAATAAATCTTGTCAATAAACACACAGCCCAGATCTACATCTCCCTACCAGTAGCTTCTAGATATGTAGACTTATAAGTCCGCAATAGTGGCGTTGCATAGTCGTATCTACTCAAAATTAAAAGAAAAGACAACGTTCATTACCACCCTAGTCTGTGGGAAACGGGTTATACGACTGGAATATCTACGGGTTCCTCTATTTACAAGATTCAGATTTTTGTCAGTAGTTTAGAAGTCTTAAGCTGCTTTAATATTTTGATAATAACGATAATTTGGGTTTTAAGTAAATACAGTATCACTTGTACAATGAATCACTCAAACCATTTTCGACTCATACTTATTGTTATGACCAGATTTCGAAAGCCCTACGTTATTGAGATTAACAAACCAAATCGATGAGCCTATGAGAACACGTAGATATTCATCTATGATTACTTCGATATCGTACTAGTTTACAAACCGCAGAAAAACCGCAATTATGAATTTTGGATACTAATCTGCATAAGGATACGACCACTGACTCAGGAATACGTAGATTTACTTGACAAATGTTTACTATGACTAGTCGAGCTTTCTAGGTCATTACTCCAACCATCCTCAAAATAGAGTTATGCTGAAAACGTTTTTTTTTAATTTTTAAATCATTTTAGCTCATACATATATAAATTCAAAACACAACCAAAACAAAATATATTTTAAGAAACGAAATTTTTCATTTGTGAAAGTACAAATAAAAACCGGATATCATAAACATTCTCTATAACCACTCAATTCCACACTTACCGGATATTAATTTTGAACTGTTTTTACTTGTAAATTTCAAACCTGTTCAGAATACTTTATTGGAAGCATTATTTGTAATACTTTAGTTCACTAACAATTAAATCCGACTACTCGTAAATTAAATGAAGCGATTAAGTGTATGTAAAAAGTTGTACGTAAAAAGAAAAAAAGAAAGTAAGGTAGAATGAAATGATTTAGCCTGGCCTCTCTCTTCAATACCCTATGCTTCGTTGAACCGCTATAGTATCAGAAGACAATAGCTGTTTTTCTGTTTGCATGAATGATTCCTATTTGAAGGAATACATCATAAACATTTAGTATCTTAAATACTGTAATTAAGCGCTAGTAAGTAAAAAATAATATCCAAGTTATGATGGTTAACCCTCAAAAAATACCGTAAGTCTGAATCTAAGATTTAAGAACTTTCGTATATTTCATCTTTAGACGACTTATGATCTTACGCCTTACTTTATTCACCACCACTGAACTGTACAGAAAATTATATTTTAGTTGTAGTAGATTCTGTCAATTGAAGAGTCCCAAACTAAGACGAAACAGGTGTCCAGTACTTCCAAGTTTTCCAGTGGTTCTCTAACTTATGTCAGCTCATGATGAAATCCTCCATCCAACTCAAATACTGTCCAACAGTTTGAATAATATTTTGTTCTCTTAAAAGCATGCCATATGAGACCCTGATGTGGTTGAAAGCCTTAGAGATGTAAACGTTAAAAGAAATGATGAAGTTTTTCTTCATATCAAGTATTCACGTAACTGGATTTACCACTTAACTGTAAAGTAAGCTGGATGACTAGAAGGCATAATATATGTCGTCTTATACTGAGGCTGAAAATGCAGTTTGATAATAGGTGTAAACACATAGTGTGAGAAACAAGACTTCTTTGGGTACATTCTTGTTTTGCAAATTATCTGGAAATCTATACAGTTTCAGGCGGCAAAGTTTCACCACGGTTTTTAATGAAACCGCACTTATTCAGATCATAATATGTGATCTTCCTGATACCATAAACTGTATTCACTTCTATCTGCCTACCAAGCACTACTAATTATTGTGAGTAGTATACAAATATTCATCTCAATCAATCAGTGGTATAAAGTGTCATACATACATTTAGAACTTCCCAGCGACTGGGTCTAGTTATTTGACGTTAAACAAACACGTTTAAAGAAATTAATTATTACTATTGATTCAATAAATAAGCATCAAGTTTGATCCAGTTGCTCTTTTCGGTGCTAAAGTTCTTTCATTCCTGTGCGTCTCAAGTAGAACAAAGGACTTGGAGCTTTGAAGTTCCAGTGTCAGTTGTCTTTGCGGGAAGGGATGGCTAACTTCCCACGCAAACTTCACTTCCTGTTATAGGCTGGTAAACTGGTCGGTTTAGAAGGGCGTTGGCAGGAGCAACTGAACCCGAATCACTTGCTTGGTTGAGAATTATTCCACCTGTAAACCATTGATGCACCAATAATAAAGCAGGATAAAAGAAGGGTTTATTTCATTTCGCGAAATACATGTCGGCTTTTTTTCCTTAATTAGCTGAGGAGATTAATGATAATTAAGATAATAGATGACTTTAAAATTTAGTCTTTTGTTTCGTTACATTAATCTATAACTTACTTCCTTTGTATAGGCTGGTGAGTAAGACTACATCATCTCATGAAAGTAATTTGTAAACGTGGTAATATAAAGTTGAAGAGAAAATAATTGGTTAATTCATAAACTCATTATTACGGTTAAATACTCTTTTGTATGTAAATAAAAAGACTAAATGTCATAAATGGATTTCTGTTCAGGCCCACTAAATAGAAGCTCACTTGGAAAGTGTAATTAGCTAACTTACAAAACTAGTTACCGACAAAACGCAAAACAATCCTGTTTGTTCACTGAAGTATTAAGAAGATATACTCTCACGGTACTGTGGTACACCAACTGAAAGCTTTATGAAAAAGTACTCTCAGAAAGTGGTTGTCCATCTACGTTTTTAGATCAGAAGAAGAAGAAATCAAATAAATTATACAAAATAGTCTCACCTGACTTTAAAGATAAATCTTCTAATGAATGTAACACTGAAAGTCATTTTTGTAGATATTCTTTATCAGTGCTTATTGATTTTGTAACCCATAACATTTTACTCTGTACACTTTGAATTATTTCCTCCTATCAGCTTAAAATTCATCAGAAAATTAGAAGACTATCTAGTTGATTGTCAGTCAAAGGACTTGGAGCTTTGAAGTTCCAGTGTCAGTTGTCTTTGCGGGAAGGGATGGCTAACTTCCCACGCAAACTTCACTTCCTGTTATAGGCTGGTAAACTGGTCGGTTTAGAAGGGCGTTGGCAGGAGCAACTGAACCCGAATCACTTGCTTGGTTGAGAATTATTCCACCTGTAAACCATTGATGCACCAATAATAAAGCAGGATAAAAGAAGGGTTTATTTCATTTCGCGAAATACATGTCGGCTTTTTTTCCTTAATTAGCTG